AACTCAGCTATATGAAAGCAAGCAAGCGAGAACATAGTGTGAGTGAGAGAGAGAGAATGAGAGAGAGAGAGAGAGAGAGAGAGAGAGAAAGGATGAGAAGTTATTTTGTTGGTCTGGGCAGAACAGTCTCTTAGATGGTCAGCCTCCCAATATCCATTTGTCAACCCTCCTTTGTACATTCTCTCTTCCCTCTTTTACTTTTATAGAGAATAATCATTCTAAATTAGACTCATCAAGTTGCTGGAAAAAGTAAATTCCCATTCAAACCTTCGGAAAAAAAATTCCCAATGTAAAATAATAAAATGATTCTGGCATAAACCAGAATTAGTCTTTATGTATATGTATTATGTTTTAGTCTTTATGTATATGAGTTTGATTAGTATGTGTCAATTTATAAAAATAATGTCTTATCAAAGTCCAGGGAAAAGAATTTTTAGTTTCCCAGTACTGAAGGTCAGCTGCACTCTGGTGGTCCTACAGCATATGAACACCTGGAAACTTTGTCTGAGATTGGTCAGAATTATGGCATCTTTATTACCTTTTCCCCTAAATGAAAAATGGTTATATTTTAAAAGAGGTTATATTCCTCTTGTTCTAGTTAGAGGGTAGAGTCTGATATTATTATCTGCAGTGGCATGTCTAAAAGAGGCAGAGGCTCTCTCTTCACCCACTCACCACTCACCTATACCCAGACAGTAGAATAATATAGGACTGCTAAGTCCAGACAGAAGGCAGAACCAGGCTCAGTTCAGATGCCCAGACAGATATTCTAATCATATGCCCAAACAGATTGCAGGACTAGGCAGGGCTCTTATGCTCAGACAGACTTTAGGACAGCAGGGATCTCACCTACATACATGTGGGCTATGGCCAGAGACTAAGGAAAACTGAGATGTAGGGAAATCAGTGGGGTACAGTCCAGTAGAGATCCAGTCACAGACTAGGAAAGTGCAAACTGGATAGAGAATGGTATAGGGACAAGATCAGACCATCGTACACCGTAAGTGAGCAGACAGAAAGGGATAGGACTTTGGATGTCCTACACTGGATCAGGCATCGAGAGACAGGATGAGGGATGTTGTACATGGGTCCAAAGGGCATTAAAGAGAGACACACATCTCTTGTACTATGCAGTAAACTCTACCTTCTTTTAAAAAGAGAGGCAAATAGATAGTCATGCATCTTTTCAGATTACATACATCCTTCACCTTTTACAAAGAGGAAAATAACAGAAATTATGTTCTATAAAGTGGATGCAGGTTACTCAAAGTAGGATACCAATCATGGGACTCAATGTAATACATGTTTAGAAGATTGGAAATGCAGTTTCTTTTTGTTTTTGTTTTGATAGTATCATATAACTTAGTAGAGAATACAATCAACTCCCAAGGACTTGTGCATATTTTATTTGATTGCAAATACATTATCATTAGGTGAAGTTAGACTTATAATGTACTTACAATCCTTAAATTTCAGTGACTTAACAGAAAAGTGTATTACTGCTCTCACCAAATCTACCTGAATCAGGAGTAAATGGAGAAGAAGGAAGGTTGTGTTCTGATTGAAGTCTCCATCACTTGGAACTTCAGTGATTGCTAAAGCAAGGTGAAAGAAGCTAAAGAATCATCTGGGGAAAGTTTCTGGGGTGCTTGGGTCTCCAGTGACCATTCTCACATATACTTAATCTAGCGCTGTTAAGTTTAGCACTAAGCAATGCGTGGGGCCCACCAGAGCTATACCTGGCAGTACAGGGAGGGTGTTGATGTGATGCTGGGGATCAAATCTGGGGCCTCATGCACACCAGTCATGCACTCTAGCCCTTTTACCTCAGTCCCTGACCAGGTGACTTTAAACATTGTTTTGTATAATGTTTTATAGCTAGATGATTCACGTGGATCACAGTTTTCAAAGGTGTTTGGGTATGTCATTTTCTGTGTGACTGCTACCAGGTAGCGGTCACACAGAAAATGTAGGCACAGGTAGCCAATGGAACCTGTTGTGTGAAATTTCTCTCGTTTGGAGGCACTGAGACAAGAAACTCGAGAGGAATGAAAAAGCACAGAGGACCACCTGCTCACTCTTGCACAATGGCAAAGGCAAGTTTCCCGTGGCCTCCTTTTATTTACTATCCTACTTATACACCTCTAATGAACTCAGTACAGAGAAGTCATTAATGGGAGAAAAAAGAGTTACAGGAGGAACATCAAGACAACAAAGCATACATTGTTGGGTTGAGTCTGTAAACCAAATGGTCACAATCTGGGCGAGGAATGTAAGGCCAAGCTTGCAGACTCCATGGTTTACAATCCCTTGCACCTATGGTGATAAGAGGGATGAGAGAGAGTCTGAATTTCCAAGCCAAGCTGGGTCTGTGAGAAAGAAAAGACTGCTTCTTTGTTCTGCCAGGAGTAAGGCTGAGGCCACTGAGGGGAGAAATGTTAACCCTTTCCAGATCAGTTGGATTCACAAGCCATCATGTGCCAACTTGTGAGTGGGGTCCAAGGTTCTGCCCTCTTGCAGGTCAGTCTCTGAGGACTCATCCTATAACTTTGGCTAGGCACCAACAGGGACCATCTTAGACAAAGCTGACGGAGGGGCGAGAAAAGAGAATCAACTTGAAAAAAAAAAAGGGAGACAGCCTGTCTGTTTCCTGATAGGTTGCCTGGTTTTCACATGAGATCCAACCCCCACCCCATACTATGTTAATACTGGGTAGGCATTTTCCAATTGAATAGATAGGGCATTCTTATTAAGATTCCATTAAGACAAGTCAGGGAGCTGCTTTCTGGAAGTCAGGTATATCTAACCATTTTTTAAAAGCACAGATAAAGTCCTTTCCCAATGATTCCTTCTCTACTTATAACTAATAACCAAGTTCCTGGAAAATACTCTGTAGAAAGAAAGATAAGGTTGTAACATTTCGGGGCCCCTTCCCATAATTGTTAAATCTCTTGAGTTTAGGGACTCTAATTAACACTAGATACTTAAGACAAAAGACATGACCCAAGCTAACCCTAATTGTCCTGGTGTCTTGCCTTAACTGACAACATAGCCGTTGCTAATGTCCAGAGCCAAATAAGAAAACCAGAGGATGAGGGGGTCAGGAGGGGAGAAGGAACAGGGAAGATACAGCCTAAGTACTCTCAGAGAAGGTGTGCCACTGTAGATTCTTCTCAAACTTTCAGCAAACCACTGGAAGGGTGGGGTAAGCTGGATTCATTTGCAGAGATGCTAAATGAACAGAAAGTAAACAGGGAGAGGGTAGGCAATACGACTGCCCTTATATTTGGGGGAAAGAAGAAATTCACTGGTAGTTTGTAATAATCCTGGATTGAATGGGGACTCGGAGAGGTGCAAGTACTTCTTGCCCTGGAGCACTACCTGATTCCTCGAAGAGGATGTCGGAGGTATATTTTTATATCTGTCATGAGTTTGGTCTCAATCGCATTCTTGTTTTGATTTTACTTTAGGAAGAACATTGGAGATCTAGCCAGACTGAAGAATTAAACTGTCTGGAAACTCTAGCATGTGTATTTGGTTTGAATGGAAATCCTGGGGTGTAATCAGCTTAGTTGGTGACCTATTTCCCCCCTCAGTGGTTAGCAACTAAGCGGATTTTTTTTAACTGAAGCCTTTTGTAGAGTATAATAATATTATATGAACCTTACAGGAACCTATAACATTTAAATATTTGTCAAGAAGAAACGCAGGAATTAAAAGAAAGTAGACTTGTTAGTTCTTTAAGAATCTACAATATTTATTTATTTATTTATTTATTTATTTTTGCTTTTTGCAAAAATGCACTCAGCGATGCCCAGGGGTTACTCCTGGCTTATGCACTCAGGAATTACTCCTGAGTAATTCCTGATGGAGGGACCATATGGGATGCTGGGAATTGAACTCGGATTGGCAATGTGCAAGGCAAATGCCTTACCCACTGTGCTATCGCTCCAGCCCCAGAATCTACAATTTGTTTAAAAAAAAATCCTGTAATAGTGGGAGATGAATTAAAAATTTAATGCACAACTGCTATATAATAGGTATTTTATTCAACATAATATCAACACTTTTGAAAAATACCATGAAGTATATATTTATGTCTTCCCTTTTGCAGAAGCCTCATAGAAGTTTAACAACTGTCCAAAGATATCAGAGCTAGAAAGTATAACTTTAAGAGGGTCTAGCAATATAAATGGCAAAACAGTTTTGCTTACCACTGCAGTGTTTGCACCTAGAATGTATATGGCTTAGAATATATAATCAATAAATATTTGTTCAATGAACAAAGAATGGAAAAGCAAATATCCAAATTAACATTTATTTCACTTTAATATATAAGCTATTAGTTTGTATCTTGTGAAACTCAACAATCTCAAAAGTTGTGAGGTAGATTCAGGAGAAGTAAAACCTTTTGGCTTAATCAGAAAATACAGTCTTGTGGTTTAATATCTGTACCAGGATGCTCTTCTCGCTGACTTTTAACATCCAAGTGGGAGGTGAAGCTGTGTTAGTGCAGTTAAGGCATGATTTTAACACCTTAGATATTAGGGAGAACATTTCCACTACTTTCTGGGGAAACAGAATGATTGCCCTAGCATCTGCACTTTCAGAGAATGATTGTACATTGAGACTGATAAAATATGGTGCAAAGCCCCAAACTGTGGTTTGAATACCATTATCTGGTTGCTTTTCAGAACGTTCATATGCAATTGAGGAAAGGCAGTATCAGGACTGAACTGGACACCTAGATTAAAGTTTCTTTATGCTTTCAAGCACAAAACAAAGGGCAAACTTTCTCACTTATATTGAGAAACATAGCTCTTTTTTTTATGAGTTCTTATTTAGCTTGTGATCTGGGATATTGGCTCTCACAGAATCCAGGGGCCTTTCCACTGCAGTGCTGACCTACATCACCATGGATTACTAATAATAGGATTTGCTACTAGGAAGCCGGGACTGTACTTATTCAAAACTTGTGATGTAGTTTCTCACAGAGGAATATGGCTTCTTACTATTTACTGTTGGTTCTGATCTTGCTGGATTCACATGCAGCCCAGCCATCTTGTCTGCCAGGATATACCTGCTCAGAGGAGAGCTCTGGCAGGTGTGCTATGCTGACAATATACCAGCTGGTTGTATGGAAAGAGCCTTTGTTGGGGGTGGGGGTTTGATGTGTAGTGGAAGTGGGCTTAGATTTCACAGAAATCAGCAAAACAGTTCTGAGACTCATTCTAGTTGATATAGAACTTTTGATGAACATTTTATTTCAAAAGAATAATACTTTAATTTCCCTCTGACTCATGCATCCAGTGTCATGTTTTGTCTAATCCCACTTCCAGGTTCCTATTTTCATTTAAAATATTTTCTGGTTTCTTGTACAGGACTCTGACACGCACATCCATCTCTTTAGGGGAGATCCTAGGGAACCTTTCTGAAGAGGTCAAGCAAGTGAGAATTGAAAATTCACCTTTACTTGAACTTCCCAGAAGGTTTCTCGTGAGCATGAGAATCTTAGCATTTCTCTGGCTTAATTTTAATAATGTCACGTGATCCACCCAGGAGCCTTGGAGCAGCTGTAAGCACTGAGAGAGCTGAGACTGGAGGGCAACCAACTCCGCTCCTTACCATAATCAGTGTTCCGTGCCACCCCTCTCTTAAGAGTTCTGGATCTCAAATACAACAGGATTGATGGGTTCCCTGAGTTTGCTCTACAGTTCTTGGTCAACTTGACATATCTTGATCTATCCTTCAATAGGCTTATTGTTGTGTCAAGGAGTGTCTTCTTTTCTTTTTCATTTTTTTTTTTTTTGCTTTTTGGGTCATACCCGGCGTTGCACAGGGGTTACTCCTGGCTCTGCACTCAAGAATCACTCCTGGCAGTGCTCAGGGGACCATATAGGATGCTGGGAATTGAACCTGGGTCGGCCACGTGCAAGGCAAACGCCCTACCCACTGTGCTACCGCTTCAGCCCCAAAGAGTGTCTTCTTGAACTGGCCTACCTACCAGAAACACCAACAATCTGTTTGTGGGGCTGAAATTCTCTCCGGCCTGGTACTGGCATTACACAGTAATCCTTGGCAATGTGACTGTCGCCCAAGGGGTTTTGTTCAGTTTGTCAAAGATATCCACCTCCCTGTCATCCTGGCAAATCCATACCTGATGTACCAAGGCCCTCTCTCAAAGGCAGGGCAAGCTTTTCATAAAACTGAGCTCAGTGTTTGCATGAAGCCACAGATCTCAACCCCTAATACCAATGTGACCATTCAGGAGGACATAATATGACCCTGGCATGCTTAGCACAAGCCAGTCCTTCACCAAATATCACATGAACTTATCCTCTGAGCATATGGAGAGTATTTGATGGTAAACTATGTGTACTCTCAACACACCTGGAGCCATGGGGAAGTCTGCAGCAAACTTATATTTAATAGAGAAGTTCTAACCCAGGCCAATTATGAGGAAGATACATAGAGCAATTTGGGCCATATTTGATTTGTACTTCTCAAATAGATACAATACCAAGATAGCATTCTAAGTGTTTCTTAAATGTTTTACTTTCTTTTCATTTATAGCATGTTTATTTTGTTTTGTTGGGGCAGGAGATGGATTCCGAGTAGTGCCCAGTGAGACCAGGAACCACTCAGAGAGATTTGTGTCCAACTGTAAAGTAGTTTTATTTGGGAAATAAGACTAAACAAAAGGAATCATATACCTCAAGTTGGGATGCAGGCAATTCCAAAATGAAATGCTTATAGGTATTTAAATAGATGCATACAGATTATAGGCCATCTAAACATATGAAAATATATGTATTGGGACTGGCTTACATATTGTATAAGTATTATCATATTAGCACTGTCTTTCCATTTTGTTCATCTATTGGCTAGAGCCAGCCAGTAATGTCTCCATTGTGAGACTTCTTGTTACTGTGTTTGGCATACTGAATACGTCACGGGTGGCTTGCCAGGTTTTTCCATGCAGGCGAGATACTCTAGGTAGCTTGCCGGGCTCTCTGACAGCGGTGGAGGAATCGAACCTGGCTCGGCCAGGCTGGCCACACGCAAGGCAAATGCCCTACTGCTGTGCTATTGCTCCAGCCCTATCATATTATGTATTAGAAAATATAGTTTTTTGAATCATATATATATATATATATATATATATATATATGAGGGGAGCACACCTAGCTGTGCTTAGGAATTACTCCTAAGTGATCTCTGAGGCTCAGTGCTCAGAGATCACTCCTAGTGGGGTTTGGGAGAGTTATTTAGTGCCATGGATTGAATTCCAGCCAGCCATGTACAAGGCAAGCATCCTACCTGTTATATACTATTTGGCCCACGTAATATATTTTTATGCAATTTTTAACGTTTTCAAGTTAGGAATATATTACTTCTTTCAGTTAACATAATAATTTGATTATTTAACATTGCTTGATGGTAAACATTAAAAATATAGTTATTTACTATTGATTTGCAAACCTGTGAACTTCAGAGTATAGCTTTATACCTTTATATGGAGAGAAAACTTTCATATGTTCCTGAGCACATATGTATAAGCCTCGTTGTAACTACTACCAATATTCTGGTGCTATTTCTATGATCAGCTCACAATATTGCACAAGCGCACAGTTTCAAGAGACTTTTCAGAAACTCTGTTAGAAGACTCAGCAAAATCCAGAAAGATTGGTGGGAGTTGCCAATGAAGTTGAAATGGCATGGTTTTCATAGACAACATAGATTTCCAGAGCATTTCTGGAAAACTTTCACCATGACTCAGCGGCTGAATTATTCCCAATTTCCACCTCCTATGTATAAAACTTAGGTACTTTCTCCCCTGTACATAGATAGTTACAAGGTTTCCAAGGCAAACATCTAGCACAAACCACATGCTAAATAGAAGGTCACTGCCACTTTTTTTTTCCTTTTTGGGTCACACTCAGCAATGCTCAGAAGTTACTCCTGGCTTTGCACTCAGGAATTACTCCTAGCAGTGCTCATGAGACCATATGGGATGCCGGGAATCGAACTGGGGTCAGCCACGTGCAAGGCACCCTACCCGCTGTGCTATCACTCCGGCCCCAAGGTCACTGCCACTTTTACACCCAAATCTGGCATTGCTGGACACCACCTCTGTATCACACACAGAGAGCTATATCTGAGTTGTTCTGCTGTCTTTCCACCCAATAATCACCTCCTCAACTGCAGAAGATGCAACTCTGTCCAAGTTCGTCATACCTGCTGCTCGCCTGGTAGACAGGGGCAGGAACACGCTAGGCATCTCCCTCCGTGCCCAGCCAGCCCAGGCTCTGCCTGCAGCCCATCCTCTTTCTTCCTCCTTGGAGGCCAGTGCGTACCTTGGCCTTCGGGTCATCGAGCAGAAAGTGCGTGGGATCCTGCTGCAGTGGTTTGCCGAATGCTGACACCCCGGTTCACCCTCTACGTGACATCAGAAGAAAACCTGAAGGAGGAGGTGGTCCACATCGGTCCTGGAATCAACATGTATGCTGTGGATGACCTCCTCCCTGCCTTAGCCCTGGAGGCCAGCCTGCTCACCAGGCAGGTGTGTGGTTTTTATGACGGGCAGAGATCACAGTAGCGTGGAGGATTGGGAACGCCTGCTCCACATCACAGTGGTTCTCTGTGCTGTGCTGCTGGCTTTGTCTGTGGGTGCCTATATCGGGGCCGCACAGGCTTCTGGGAGCAGCAGTGGGCAGAGCCTGCTTTGCTGTCCTCCTAGCAGGAAAGCCCTGGGTTGCCCCTGTGCAGCCCCAACACACAAGGATGACCCCTTCAGAGACCACATAGTTGTGTATGAGGCTGGTTAGAGACCCAGAGACAATGAAAGGGATGAGGAGAAAGGAGAGGGGGTGAGTGAATGAAGAGATGGTGCTGAGGGAGCAATCATGTAGACCTTGGATGCTCAAATCTTCCATGGCAACTCAACTGGGCATCATCCATTTGTTCACTGGGTAGTCTTTTTTTTTAACTTCTATTGTGCTTCAGGCACTGCACTCCATAGTGACTGAAGACAACCAAGTCTTATCTTCATGAAGCTGATTCCAATGGTGCATTTCCTGGCCAATGAATACATAGATTTCTACATGGTGTCTGAAAATTATTGACTGTTACTCCTTTCCTGTGCATAGCTGTATAACATTTATATGTTTATGTGCAACATGAACTTATGACACTTCACAAATGTTCTCCCACTAGAGGCAGATAGTATTGTTCTTATTACAAGTAAAGAGTCTCAATTACAATGACTAATATCAGATGTCTTGCAGCAGGCAAAGACAGCTCCTAAAGGAGGTTCTAATTCCATTGTTTCCTGTAACTCTCTGCCTTGCAGACATTTCTTTGAGGTCTCTCTTATTGTTATTTTAGAGTGTCACCCCCCCACCCCAGGCCTTAATGGCAAACTCCCAAAGACATTTTCTGAGTTTGTTCCAAAGAGCTTCCCTTGGGCACCAAGAGAATCTGAGGTGTGACCTTTTTCTGTTCGTAAGTGATTGTGTTCCTGGAAGCAGTCCTTGGTGTCCAGAGCAGCCTGGGTGAATAAAATTAAGAAGCAGGGAACTGGCTGCCTTCCCAGCATGTGTTCTAGTGACTAGCGATTGGCCTGGCCTTCCCTTCCTTCAGGTCCCCTTCCAGTCCCTCCTCTTCTTTCCTCCACTTCCCTTCGTTTCCCTGTCCTCCCCTTCCTTTCCTCCCCCTCCCTCCTCTCCCAATCCACTTTCCTTCTCTTCCTCCTCCTTCTCTAGCTGAACCTCAGAACTAATCCCCTGGCCTCACAATACTTTTTTTTAAAATTGAGGATAACTTTAATATTCAGACCAATTTTTCCCTCATTTATTCAAGTTTTCATTTATTGTCTCCTGAGCATTAGAAGAAAAAGCTTAGATGATGAGGGTCGGTCAATGCTTAGCGGATCTGGGGTTACTTCTGTCAATACTCTGGCAACTGGACCAGAGGGCTCAATGTCAGCCTCTGACACAGTGCAACTCAGGACCAGCAGTGTTGGGGAGGTTGGGGTGGGAAGTGGGAGGGATGGACAGCAAACCTGTCTGTGCTGGAAGTGGTATACAGGAATGCAAATGCCAGAATTTAAACTTGGGTAGTTGTGCATTGTTGGACTTGTGCCCCCTGAGCACTAAGTTAACTTGACAGCTCCTCAAAACATTTTGTAATAGAAAAAATTGCTTATTTCAAAAGTAGAAAGACTCTCATCCCCCCCCCAGACATTGAGTACCTTTTAATCTTTTTTAGCATTCTCTAATCTTATCTCATCTTGTCCTTGCCTTCAATGTTTTCTAAAAAACTGAAATATTTAAAGTCAAATACCAGTTTCACAGCCATCCTGCAGTTTAGTTTTAGCTTTTTAGTTTTATTATAAAGAATTTTTTAAGAACATAATTATGCTGTTATTAAGAATATATATTGAGGCTATATATATGTACATAAGAATATATATATTAAGTCATATGTACACACATATGCCCAACTCCTGCACAATTTGGGTATGGTTTCCATAACAAAAAAAAATAACTGACCTAAATATAATTATATATGCAGATATATACTACTAGTATATATATACATATATATGTATGTAGATAGTGTAATTGAGAATTTGGACACGAGGAATGTTCCAAGATACATTTTGAAGGATAATGGTTAGACTAAAGCACTGTATCACTGCATCACTGTCATCCCGTTGTTCATTGATTTTCTCGAGCGAGTGCCAGTAACGTCTCTGTTTGTTCCAGCCCTGAGATTTTCGCAGCCTCTCCTAACTTGTCTTTCCCAACGATTGGAGGCTCTTTCAGGGTCAGGGGAATGAGACCTGTTATAGTTTCTGGTTTTGGCATATTGAATAGGCCATGGGGAGCTTGTCAGGCTCTGCCAGTGCGAGCACGATACTCTGGGTAGCTTGCTGGGCTCTCTGAGAGGCATTTATATATATATATATATATATATATATATATATGTATGTATGTATGTATATATATTATTTTTTGCCTACTGCCTGAACTCCATCAAACATGGTGTGGTAATTATGGAAAATGAGTAGGAAGTGCCTTATGATGTGGCTTCGCGGCCCTGTGTGGTCCACAAAGCGGCCTGGAGCGTTGTGGCAGTTGGGTAGCGGAGGTCGGCTGCTGGGGCTGGGTCCCTTGGGGTGTGGAGGGCTGTCACCTGCACCCCCTCTGGGACGCCCCGAGTGAAAACATCTTGGCAAGGAGTCAGGACTAAAGCAAGAACATGTTAGATATGCTTCCTTCTGTAGGACCAAAGGCCATCTAAAGATCTTGAGGGTCTGAGCAGTTCTTGGTGGCCTGGGACTATGCTGAAGGCAGCGGTGACATTCTGGCCTCAACTCTAGCACAAATGTCTAGGGTGGACATGGAACTGAGGGAGCAGAAGAGAAGGTCATGTAACAGAAGCATCACAGAGCAGAGTCAACAGAGACAAGCAGGGCAAAGGTTAGTTGAGTCCGTGAATAAGGATATTTCAGGAAAAGGAACAAGGTTTAGAGAGCTTCAAGAAATCTGATATGTAAAAGCCCTTACATCACCCCAAATATTTTTATCTCTGGTGTAAATATGCATGTGGCTAGATCCACTAGGCAATAGAACAGAAAGCATAAACTCTGGATCCCAGTTTCCTTGGTTTAAGTTTTGACTTTGCTTCTTATTGGCACTGTGACATAGGGTAACTTGCCCAATGTCACACTGCCAATAAGTGTTGCAATTTCTGTGTTGTAGTTTCCTCATCTGATAATCGAGGATAATAATTTTCATAGAGTTTCTGTTTCATAGAGTTGTTCTGATGGATATGTGAGATTTTATACGTAAAATCTCAGAATGATGTCTGGTACCTGAGAAATTCTCACTGTTACCAGCATTTTGAGGCATCTATGTCATGCCCATTTATAGCATTTTAGGGGGGAACTAAGAGTGGTTTGGGCCATAACCACTGTTCTCAGGGCTTACTCCTGGCTCTGTTCTCAGGGATCAATCCTGGCAGGGTTCAGGGTTCTGTATTTAATGCCTGAGTTGAACCTAGGTCAGCTGCATGCAAGGCAAGGACCTTACCCCCTACTGTCATTTAGGTACCAGTTTGTGGTTTTTGAATGACTTGACAGATTAAGTTATCATGAGTCTTAAATCTCATTAGGATTATGCATAGGTATATATGTATAACTATTCAGAAAATGACATGGTATCTATGCTGATATCCTTCACATGGACATAATAAAATAATGTTCTAAAGATGCCATAGTTTTCAATTCATTTGTGATGCTATTGGGAAATGCATTTATTTAAAGTTTCAACCATATCATTTTAAGACAAATTCCAGAAGACATTTTTAAGTAGGTTAATTGACTCTAGAACAAAAATAATTCTCAATAAAAATGACTCATCACCAAGACATAGGCCTCTGATATTAGTAATTGGAAGGAGGAATTTTTGGACTTTACATATTTCTTTGTTTGGTGTTTGGATCACACCCACTGATGCTCAAGGGATACTCCTGGCTCTGCACTCAGGAATTTCTCCTTGCATTGCTTGGGAGACCATATGGGATGATGGGGATCAAAATTGAATTGTCTGTACAAGGCAAGCACCCTACCCACTGTACTGTCTTTCCATCCTCAATTTTTTACATTTCTTATGCATTGCTAGAACCTGAATTTCTCACACCTAGGAGAAGGTCCAACATAGGCAGAATGTTCAGATCTTGTATTATTAAATAAATAATTAGTTATGTTAATGAGTAATAAGCACACTATTGGATATCATTCTGCCGAAGAAGTGCATGCCTACACTTTCATAATGTCTCACAGATGTCCCTTCCATCAACCTGTTGTTACAAAATAAGGTCATTTACTTTATTTATCAAATCACAGTAGCCAAAACCATCACCATTTTATTCTGAGAAGTAGGTCCTTAAGAAACACAGCCAGTCCCTGAGTTATTTTCCATGAAGTTTCTAAGGGGTCTTTGCATGTCTTCATTCCAATTTGGCAACCACTTCTTTTTTTTTTTTGGTTTAATTTTGTAACACATATGGTGGTAGTTAGGGTGCAATTTCTGCACCTAGTATGGTCTTCCAAGTACTTCTGCAAGTACTTGGAAGACCATACTAGGTGCAGAAATTGAACCCAGGTTGGCCATGTGCAGGGCAAGCACCCTGCCCACTGTACTATCTCTCCAGCCCCTGGCAGTCTTCTTATTTATATGGCACTATCCCCACTCTCCCTGACTGTCCATCCAGCTCAGGCCTATGGAGGCCACACTTGTGGACAGTGGAAGCTGGTGACCAGCTCTGAAAGCATGCTGCTGTTGTGAGTTTTCAGGTGGAATCATATTTTGCATTCTTTTGCATCAGATCTGGGAGTTGAGGGTGGATCTGTCCACTCAAGATGCTGGGGGCAGGCTGAGCTGGGCTGTTAGACAGATGAGCCTCTATGAGGCAGCTGATATGAAAAGAAGCAGGAGGTCAGCTTGGCTTTCGGTTAATAGCTTTTATTTACCATTTACAAAAAACTGCTGATTGCATGCAAAGTGTAAAGATGCTGTATTCCCAGTGGAGGGCAAGCATGATCTAGTGCAGCCTCTCCTGAAACACAGATGCAAAATACCTGGTTGTTCATTCAGGGCTTCCCCCTCTTAATACTCTCTGGGTTGTGGCGGCAGAAACCCCAGCAAGGAGATGACACACTGATACAACTGAAGAACAGTTCAAAATACAGGCCCAAGAATCATGAAACTCTATGTAGATAATCTCCTTAAATGAAATCACTGACATTCTAGAAGGAGTATTAGAGTTGAGTGAAATGTAAAACAAAATAAAACAAAAATAAAACCCTGTATTCATCTGTAGTCATCCCCCCCCCCCCCCCGCCCACACACATACACACATACTTTTAGCTTTCCTTAGAGTAGTAAAGTCAGGCAGAATTTCTTTGCACAAAATTTTGAGATCTACACATCTTCTCTCCTGGGGGTTGTTGTCACTGGCTGGCCAGGTTTTTGGTGCCCAGCTAGAGGAAAAAGCTGGGGGTCCCCAGACCAGGTCCTTGCTGCCACATCTCTATAGCCTTGAGCAACCACGCTTTCCTTGGAAACTCATCTTTAGACATCTCTGCAAAACAGGCACTGGGGTTGAACGCATTGCCCAGTGAAACAGAAGGGGAGCTGTGCATGTCCAGGGCAATGCCATCATCCAGCTCTGGCTACCTTGAAGAGGGCATGGCTCCCAAACCTGGCACCCCCAGGGGTCTTTGGCAGAGTTGCTGCCAATGAGTTCCTAATACTATTTTTTTTTTTTTTTGGCAGAGCTGCAACCCAGAGATCTGGCCTGCAGAAAAATACTTTCAATTTGTGCCTTTTTGCGCTTGGGTAAAGCCCTACTCATCACTGCTCACTTCTGACTCTACACCTGGGAGTGAGGCAAACAGGGTCCCCCCCCCCCCCCTCCTTAATTGGTCACACCCAGCGATGCTCAGGGCTTACTCCTGGCTCTGCATTCAGGAATTATTCCTGGCGGTGCTTGGAGGATCATATGGAATGCTGGGAATCAAACCTGGGTTGGCCACGTGCAAAGCAAATGCCCTCCCCACTGTGCTATAACTTCAGCCCCATTATTTTCTTTTCTAGATAAGGAAGCTGATAGCTTCCCACTCTTAGTCCCCGTGAGCAGAAGAACTGAATGAAAGGGGTGTCTCCCGAGTTGATGCTCATTAGAGTCCTTGACCCTCACAAGCTTCATGGTGGGGAGCTCTACCAAGAAGGGCTTTTAAAAAATTGGTCTTTGGGTCATACCCTCAGTGTTCAGGGGTTACTCTTGGCTCTGCATTCAGAAGTTACTCCCTGTGGGCTCAGGTTGACTGTGAATTTGCAAAGCAAATTCCCCAGTATGGCTCCAGCACCATCTGAAAAGAGGGTCTTAGCACTTCCAGTACATATAGAACTGCAGGTTGGACATTTCTGGCCAAAAACAGCTCTGGCCAAAGGCATTACCTGTCCTCATGTCTTTGGGAACATCTTACCCTCAAGGTTCCTGGTCCCACTTGGGTTTTGCATAAGCCCAGAGTCTCTTCCCAGAGCCTGTCTTCTCCTCCTTCTTCCTCATGGCCATCAGGCACAGTACTGCTCTCAGAGAGAGTTTTCAGGGACTCCTTGACCTCCCTGATACATATGCTAAGGTTGAACATCTTCAGCCTTAGCCTTAGCCTCAACCAACTCTCAACTTCCTTTTCTAACTCCTGCTTTTATCCAGAGGCTTCAGGATCCAGGGTCTAGTGTTCTTGTCCCATTGGTCCAGGGTTCTACTACTTAACCAGTGGTGCTGAGGCCCCAGGAAGAACCAAAGGACTGTGAGGTCTGGAGTTGGTAAAAAGACATTGAGAGCTGGCTCCTTCCTGATCCCTAGCCTCTGCAGAACAGAGCACATCTTAGCTGTGTCAGGGACCTGGGTGATGGAGAAGCATTGGTCAACTGCACTCATAGCCAGAGAGATCTCTTGACCAGGTGCTTTCCAGAGCCCTAAATATGGGGAAAGGAGAGAGGGTTATGCCATGGTGTACAAAACAGGGAAGACCTTGAGGAGCAAAGGGGAGGAGAGCGGGGTCCAAGTAGCAGGGCAGTTGGGGTAGGAGAAGAGGGGACACCACACACACTCTAGAAGTAGGCCTTGTTGTCTGATCTCTGCTCAAACTTTTGCCTGAGCTCAGACACCAGAGCTGAATGCACAGGGCTTCCAAAGGATGTGGGCCTGGGTGAATGCAGGGGCTGCTGAGGAGTGAGGGAGCCAGAGACCGTAGGCACCGTCCAGGGGGGCAGGCCTAGGTTGGGCGCCGCGCTGGGCGGTGGCGGGAGTGGAGGGGCTCTGGGGGGCAGCACGCTTCCAAGGCTGTTGTTGTTGCAGTTCTCATTGGGAGGATCCTCTTTGAGCACAAACTTGGCCGCCGCCTTGGTCCTTCGGAACTTGAGCCACTCGATGCGGACCGTGCGGGGAGCAGGCCGGGGCCGCTTGCGGAGCACTCGCCTCACCGGCTGGACCTTGTTGGACTTCTTGTTGCGCCAGAAGGTGGCGGTGGAGATGAGGACGGTTATGGCCACGATGGTGGCCATGACGCCTGCCAATACGCCCACGGCCTTCATGGGGTTGTCTTTGGTCTGCATCAGGAAGGCAGCCATGGGGTCCGGAGACAGTGTCTGGAAGGAAGAGGCACCTGATGGAGCTCCCTCGAGTCTCATGATTTTTAAGTTTTCTGGTGTGACATGAGACTCTCATGAGCACCCGGGGCTTCAACCCAGAAAAAAATACACAGAGGGAGAGTGTGATGCAATAAACCTTCCCCTCATCTTTCCCCCGAAGTGGTAGAGATGGAACATCAGGGTTTGAGACACACAAAGTAGGTGCTCTGCCACTGGGCTGCATTTCTGACCCTCCAGCAAACAACCTCCTTGGGATTGAGAAACTCTTGCATGAGCTGGACACTGCTCTTGAGAGAGTAAGGCATCACTTACATCTGATCATGGGGGGCACTGCCCTAATAAAGCAGGAAGCCGCAAAGGGATGACTTTGTGCCAGAACCCTGAGCTGAGAGCTACACGTCACGATTGTACTTCCGCCTGCCAACACCCAGGTGAAGCGGCCATCACCCTGCCCTTTTTACAGGATAGAAGGCAAGGGATACCAAGGCACAACCTCCATAGATGTTAAGACTAGAATTTCAGTGATTTCACTGTATGTTGAATAGCTCCAGCAGCCTTTAAGAGCATCAATGCCTTTTGGAAAGAGACTGGAAAGGCGGGTCCCTCCCTTGACCATGCTGCAGCAGCAAGGCCTGAGCTGGCCTTTATACCCACCTCCGTGTCTATGATGTCAATCTTGAGTAAGGCCGTGGTGCTGAAGGATGGGGAGCCACGGTCCTTGGCCTGCACTTCCAGGGACCATGTACGGTCCCCGTGGGGAGTGATGTTGTGCAGGGCGTCCAGGGAGCGGATAGAGTTCTTGAGCCGAATCTCCCCTGTGCGGGCATCAATGTCAAATACATTGGCCGGCTCTGCATGTGTGATAGAATAATCCACTAAGTTGTTGGGTTCCTCAGCGTCCTGGTCTGTGGCCTGGGAGAGAGATATGGAATCAGGTTTCCAGGATGATACTTGTGTTCTCCCTGGCTAAATCAAAAGGTCACATGAGGCTGGCTGGATTAATGGAAAATAATCATCATTTTTGGGGGAAATGGAGTTGGGTTTTTGGACCATACAGGGGTTATGATTAGGGTTTATTCCTGATCTGAATTCAGGAATTACTTCTGGGGGTTTAAGATGACCATATGGGGTGCTGGAGATCGAACTTGGGCTGACTTCATGGAAGGCAAATGCTCTACCTGTGGTACTATCTCTCTAGCCCCAATCATGATTTTATTTAGACTGAACCCAAATAAGGAGAGGAACTGAATGTGTGCTACACAGGAATTGGGGATTATGCCAGGTCCTGTGTATGTTATTCTAATCCATTCTAATCCAATTACTCTAATCCATTTTCAGAATATGTTTAAGTATTGTTAAAACAAACAAAAAAGAACAAAACAGAACTGAAGCTCAGATGCCTGGTAACTTGCCTAAGGATAAACAATAAAGAGGCATTGGGATTCTAGTCAAGATGTCAAAGTTTCTGCTTTTCTGCACTGGGTCTGGAGTACAGTAGGAAAGACACTGCTTTGAAAGCACAGAGTAGCATGATCTGGCTGAATCTTACCTTTTAATTTTGTATGTAATAAATCCCTGGCTCAGAGATTATTTCTGAGGTTGAGGGGTAAAAGGAGATAACTATCCTTGCCTATATGAGGATTTTGTACATCATAAAATAAAATAACTGGGCAACAGAAATCATGCAACTGCTGAAATCAGGCTTTTTGGGGAACTCAGAAAGCCTGTGAAGCCCACCTCAATTTTCACTGGGGTTCCCAGCACCATTGTCTTCTCTTGGATGCTCTTTCCAAACTGAGGGTAGTGGTCATTGACATCCAGCAGAGTGACAAACACCTCGGCCAGGCTGGATTTGCCCTCCATATCCTCTGCCTTCACATAGAAATTGTACCTGGCCGTGACCTCAGCATCCAGATTGGCCCAGGGCTGAGTATAAATGATCCCAGTGGTTGGCTGGATTAGGAAGCTGCCAGGCAGAAAGGGCATAGGCGTGTGTGTATGCACAGGAGCATACATGTATATATGTGTACACACACACACACACACACACACACACACACACACACACACACACCTGCAGTCATGAGAGGCATCTAGAGAGAAGCAGTATTGTCTCCTGCAGCCTCTCCCATAAGTTCATTTCCCTTCCCATCTGGCCTGATGGAAGAAGACAAGTTCAGCCAACCCCTCACCCATCTATTATTTTCAAACTTGAGCAAAGTCATGGACCAACCCTCTCCTCCTATGGGCCTGCCTCCTTCCTAGTCCAACACACCTGCTGATTCCTGAGGCCAGTGGCCACAACTCCAGCCACGATGCTGGTGACTCTTCTCTTACCAGATGTCTCTATTTCTCTACCTGAGGCTCAGTCTTGCTTTCCTCTGCTCCTTGTCCCCATACTCCCCAACTCATGTCCTTTCTTTTCCAAGTGTGACACACCCCCTCAGCCTGTCCTCAGCCAAGTCCCTGTTCTGATACGATGGATCTACTCACAGATCTGCCCCGGATCCATAGATAGAGTATCTGACTTCGCCCCAAGGACCTGTGTCCGGATCCACAGCCTGGAAGAGAGAAAGCTCCCAATGGCACTTGCCCCATTGACAAGGCACGTCTGCAGCTGTGAATGGAGTCTGAAGGTTGGTTTCTGTTGCAACTTAAGCATGTTTGCTTAACGGGGGAGAAACTGGAGGCTATGCTAGAGCCCTCGTTTTCTGCCCAGAAAGGCCCCAGTGTTGGAGGAACCAAAAGATTTACACATGAAAATAAAAATATCTATTCCTCCTCTGTAAACGAGGAAGGAAAAAAGATGAGTTTTGTCCTAGATTTGGGACTGACATTTATGTCCTCCTTTGAGCTCTGGGAGACTCAGCATCCCCAGTGTACAGAAGAAGAAACTGAGATTCTCCAGGGCAAGTTGCTGGTCCAGATACTAGACAAGGATAACAAAGGTGAGCTTTGAGATTCAAACTAGAACCCAGATTGATCTGACTCATCAGGAACCCTTCAGTGGACCTCCCAACCCCCACTCCCAGCCCATGAGCCAGTTCCCAACTCACTGTGACAGCCATCACATTGGAGCCCCCCGGGGTGTTCTCAGGGATCCTGGCAATGTAGTACTGGGAAGTGAACTTGGGGACATTATCATTGGTGTCCAGGAGCTGGATCAAGACATCTGCTGTGGAGCTGAACTTTTCTGGGGTATTCACTTCAATGGCTAGGAGCTAGGAAAGGAGGGGAGAAGAGTGGAAACATCACTCAAAGCCTCCTCACGTCGAAATCAGGACTGTTGAAGCCAACTGACTTCTCTTTGCTTCTTATGTTCAGCAGCTGACTAGCTATTCTATTCCATGACCCCTACGAGGGGCATACACTCTCCCCACTGACTGCAATGCCTGCTCGGGTTCCGATTTGAATCTGGGACCATTTTTTATTCTGCTAATTTGCATGTTTCTTTATAGTTTCAATTAAAACATTATTTTGCTTCATAATAAAATTCAACTTTTGTTGGAATAAGTTTCTCCTCATAATCCTTTCTTCCATTGAATTTCCCTTATATATTCATAGGTTTATTTCTTCAGATAGAAACTGGTTTAATTGTGACAGTTCCCTTAACCACCTTTCCCAAGGAAATTATAGATAAGATTGAAGTAAGGTGACCCTGAAATCTTTACTAATTGAATGGAAATTTGCAGTTTTTAACAAGATATGCCTTTGTGTTTCTTGTTCTCTTTATGGACCTCATTACATTTTTGCATTTTTTAGTTATTTAGATGCTGTATAATTATTGTTATGGATATTCCTAGAAATAGTATAATTTAGTTATTACTGTAGAAAATAATCTTTTTTTTTCCAGGAATTTGATTAGAAAGGAATCTTTTGATTGTATTTTCTCATTACTACTTTTTCAATAGGAAGACCATGGGATTTTGTGTTTTAACTTTGTGATCAATCATGTTGATCACATGATCAACGGCTGCGTGACACATCACAAGACACTGCCTACCCATTTTCCATAATTGCCACACCATACTTGATGGGGTTCAAAAAGTATGCAACAAATTATATATAATATATGTGTATATATGTGTATATATGTATATATATGTGTATATATGTGTCCGCACACATGAAGGTACTGGCAGAGGGACAAAGTCACGCGGGTTCCGGGGCCGAGATCTCCAAGCCTACTCGGATTTGGGCCAAGCATCCTCAACCCAGATCCTCCAAATTTTAGTAGGCGGGGGTCACACCCACCAACTGGCCCCCTGGCACCATGTAATCCCATCAACGGCCAAGACTCAGAGACTATAAAAACCAGCTCCCAGAAGAGAACAGTGCAGACATCTTATTATGACATCTTATTATCTCATTCCTACTTTGGACAAACTGGCAGGTTACCGAATGTAGCCTGCGTCTGGCAAACTCCCCGTGGCGTATCCAATATGCCAAATACCCGTAACAATGATGGGTCTCATTCTCCTAAAGAGCCTTGAATATAATCTCAGGGCTAGGATGAAGGAGACGTTACTGGGGCCTGCTCGAGGCAATCGACGAATAACAGGATGATTTGTGATTTGTGATTGTGATATATATATGTAAGCCTCTCAGAGAGTCCGTCAAGCTACCGAGAGTATCCTGCCCGCTCAGGCAGAGCCTGGCAAGCTCCCCGTGGCATATTTGATATGCCAAAACCAGTAACTATAACAGGTCTCATTGCTCTGACCCTAAAAGAGCCTCCAATTGTTGGGAAAGACGAGTAAGGAGATGCTGCTAAAATCTCAGGACTGGGACGAATAGAGACATTACTGGTGCCTGCTCGAGTAAATTGATGAACAGTGGGATGATGGTGATAGAGTGATATGGTGATCAATCATGTTAGCCATGCTTCTGTGTTTCTGAGGGATTTTCAATAATATCTATTGCTATTCTAGGAAATCATCACCTACAAATAATGATCAAAACTCTTTCAAATGTTTGTACTTCTTATTTCCTTTCTTTATCCAAGAATATTGTCATTTCAAGAATAGTATTCCAAGAATAGCACTGTAATATTGATGATAACAAATATCAATTCATGGAATTCATAGAATTTTTTAGTACTTTCTTTTCTAAGCATGATGCTGCCCGCAGCTATGCATGTGTATATAATTAGAGAAACAAATGTTTCTGACTAATATTTATGCTGTATAATATTTATTATTTATAAGTTTATCATTTTAAATAGAATAAGAAGTTTTTTCACCTTCTGGTGAAGGGTTCTTTTTTTTTTGGTTCTTGGGGTCTCACCCAGGGATATTCAGGAATTACTCCTGGCCATGCTCGGGGGACCATACAGGATGCTGTGGATCGAATCCGGGTCCGCCACGTGTAAGGCAAATGCCCTACTCTCTGTACTATCACTCAGGCCCCTTCTGGTGAAGTTCTATGAGATGACAGACACCATTGCTGTGCAAAAAGCCTCTCTCTAGACCATCGCATGGCTTCTCTCTCTCTCTCTCAATTTGGTGCCACAGCACATTATATCAGGAACTTCCTTTTGAACCTCCTGTAAGCAGTAGCCCCTTGTATCACTCTTCCTCTCCCTTCTCCAAAGCTCCCCAAGTCCACAGGTGAGGCAAAAAAAACTTAGAGTGGGCCAGCAGTGATAAGGTGCCTGCATGAATGAACCCAGGTGCTGCTGTGAGTTCTGAGCATCCCCTCATCCAGGACAGTGTGAGGCATCGCCTTACCTTGAAGGTTAACACCTTAGACTTTTCAAAGTCAATGGCAGCTGAGTTCTCCACGATGATTGTGACTTGGGCTTCATTTAGGACTGTCTGCGGGACCACTCGGAAGATGCCCCCAGGGCCCACCAGCCGTAAGTTGAATTTGGCATTAGCTCCCTGGGCAATTGAGTTCAGAGATAGGAAGCAGGGAAAATAAATGAGAAGAGAAATTCATTGTATATTCATGCTAATGAAGCAGCCTTCATATGCTCCTACCCTAGGAAGGATTATTACTTTTTTTTCTGTAGGTAAGAAAATCAGAGAGCAGAAGGGTTTTATGGACTGTAAGGACTAAGTCAGGTAACAAACACACAAGATCTAGGCCTGCACCAGACGTGGGTGACAGAACATACACTCAGAAGCTTTCCCAAGGCCAGATATAAATCACTTTTATTGAGGTGCCAAGATAACTCAAAGGGCTGGAGCACATGCTTTGCATGCAGAAATCCTCCCAGTGCTTGGTCACACCCCAGCTCTGAAGGGTCCCCCCAAGCATCAACAGGAGTGACCTCTGAGCATAACCAGTTGTGGCCCAACACAAAGAAACAAACAAACAAAACAAGCTAACAGTGCTTCTGTTTGACTGAATTTTACTTTTTAGTGCATTATGACTGTCTTAAAGCAAACTACGGCCACAAATTTAAGGCACTCTCCCACCTCTTCTTCCGGATTACACCCTTGTTCATTTATGTCCCAATAGCCGGGCCCTTGAGACATATGCAGTGCTAGCTGGGGCAGACTGATCTCTGGCACCTTGGAAATGGCGGAGCAGGTGCAAGGCTGCACCACATACCTGATCTGAGTCATTGACAGTGATCTTGAGCCCCCGCAGGATCTCTCCCTGGGGTGGGTGCTCGTACATGGACAGCTCAAATCTGTTCTGGGGTCCATTCTCGCCATAGAATGTAGGTGGATGGTTGTTCAGGTCCACGATCCTGATGGTGACAGGGGCCATGGCCTGGGCAGCTGGGATCCCTGCAGCGCTGACCTCAGTTACCTGGAGTGGAAGGATGACTATAGCGGTGTGGCATTCTGACAGCAAGATAGCCTCAGTAATCCCCACCTCCTGCTATTCGTGCCTTTGTATCATCACCTCACCTTAGTGTGGCTTGGCCTAGCAACATGCTTATACCTGAGGAGCTGTGTCGAAGGCAATAATTAGATTAGATGACTACAGACCGTGGCTAGTGTCTCACCTATTGGCTTTGATGAAAGCAGCTTTGTCCAACGTGTTCAGACTTCAAGGAGCTTGTGACAACCTGCAGCTCAAAGCCCAGAGGAACTAATCCTGTCAATCACCACGCAACTTGGAAGCTACTCCTTTCCTAGTCAAGTCTTCGATTGAAAAATGGCTAATAATTTGACTCCAGTGAAGTGAGAGACCTTATAGGATTCAGCTAAGCTGAACCTAGATCCCTGCCCACAGAAACTGTGAACTATAAGTAATGTGAAATTTTGAGACTCAAAGTTTGTGGTACTGTTACTAAATCCATAAAATACTAAATTTCTTCTGCTGAGAGCAAGCCCACTTTACAGAAGCACAGAGAGCAGTGAGATGATCACACAGTCAGTCAGCTGCCGAGCTGAAATAGGAGGAACTCCAGGCTGTCTGACCCCTTAGGCAGTGCTCTTTTCACTTCTCCCCTCCTTGCAGTCAGACATGTGTTCCAACCCCAGGTCCACCATGTTCTGACCTCGTGTCCATTCTATCATGGGGGAGGCTGCAGGGAGGGGAGATATGGAGCTGCAGCAATAGATAAGTAATACCTGCCCCAAACCCAGGGCACACATAAGTCCCACATGAACCACGTGACAAATATCATGAGTCCCCTGAAGGAATTCCTTGTTCAGTAGGCATGCTTTGGTCTTGGGTAACTTAAAATCACTCTCCCTGTCACCTGACTCTGTCGCACCCTAGGTGCTGCCCTAGTTCTCCCCTCCTAGGAGAGCATACTTCTTGCCATGTTTGATTTCCTGCTCAATGTTCAGTCCATTACACAGACAGAAGCCTTCCCACTGACTTCCGTGCTATATGCAGAACCGGCAGTCTTTCCCTTCTCAAGTGCTTTATTTCCTCACTATTGTGACTCAAGTCTCTGCTGACCTCTCCTCCACCTGCTCCTTGCCTCTTCCTCACAGATGCTTCCCTCGCTGTGCTCTTGACCAGGAAATAGTCTCCCTCTCTCCACAAACATTCTCCAGGCAATCTCGTTCCCATTCATCCTATCAAACCCACATGTATGTGGACACTGTTCTAAATCCCAAACCTGTGATACCCAAGTTCAGATGTTTCCATTTGAATGTCCTTGAGGCACCAAGATTCATCATGTTCATGCTGCTTAATTTGCCTCCCTCAGTTCCCAAAGGCAAAGTGCAACCCAGCTTCATCCGTTCCTCTCCTCCTCTCCCTCTCCATATTCCCTCCTGTATAGCCACACCCCATGAACTCTGTCTCGCTCATACTTTGTAGTGTCTTCATTGCTGCCATTCCACCTTTCCTCATCCCCGTGTTCCTTCTTCTTCCATCACCTTGGTTAAAGGCTCTGCCTCTCTTCCTCTACTCCTTTCCTCCAAATCTGAGTAGGTATCAGGGTTCTCAACTGCTAGGATGAACCAGTGCTCAAAATATGAAGCCACCTGAGTTTGTTCCAGACATATTAATCTCTCAGTACCAAAGTGAGTCCTAGCAACCACTATTTTCCAAGCTCTCTGGATTTGAGAGATTAGAGTATTATTTAATTAGAGCAACTGGTCAAATTACTGCTAGAATGCACTAGTGCCTTAAAATTACCTATTTATTTATTTTTTGCCGTAACTTTAATTCTCTCAGCACTCAGAAGTCCTTTACAGTTCTCAGGAAGGAAATTTTATAGTTCTACAAAATTTGCAGGTTTAAGTGAGTATAGGCACCTCTTCTTCCAAAATATTATTTAAAATTTTTCAGATGGTAGTAGCAGAGCATTTGGGCCAGTCTGAAGTGTTTCTAAACATAGACAGTTGCTGTTTAATGGCATAGATCACTTGTGCGTGAAGCGAGCCCTGCTCCAGGGGAAAAGCCATACAGAGGCAGGTAGGTAGATAGGAGAGGGCCCATGGCAATGGAATTTCTGAGAAGTAATAAATCCAATAACACTGAAGCTGAAAGAATTAAAGCCTAGGCCTGATAAGATCTTTCTGGCACCAGTGACGACCCTGAAGAGGCTGGACCCCACAGAGACACAAACTTCAGCAGAACAGAGACTGCAATTAAGGATCTGAAGGAGATTTATGACACACGAACGACCCCCCACTTCTATCAGAGAAACTCCAAACCAAGGCAACGCCCCTTGAAAACCACCCTAGCAACGAACTCTTACCTAGCTAGAAATCCCCATGTGGGGAGAAGTTGGAGAAACCCTATAAAAGCCACCTTGAACAAAGGAAGGGTGCACATATGCAGCCAGACCCCATGAGCACATGTAGCCTCCAAACACATGTGGCATCTGCATCTCCTTTCTTGAGTTGTGTACTAACGCTTTCTCCACCTTTGGAGAAGCCCGTCTTCTCCTTTGAGAGCACTATTCTCCCTTGAGCACGTTATTCTCTCTCACTTTCTCTCCCTCCTTCCCCTTCCTAAAAACCTCCAAATAAAATCTGGTTTTACTTCACAGCTCATCTACTCCTGAAATTCCTTTCGGAGAGGAAGACAAGAACCTATAAACCCTGGCCATCTGTTATGGCCCACTGACTTCAATACTTCATACTGGGAGACTTTGCTTCTCTGGCCCTAGCTGAAAGTCAATCGTTTCTCCTCCGTATTCCCTCTCGGCTCCAGTCCCACTTCACTTGCCTTTGCTCCCCTAATACATCCTGTGCTATCACCCCCAACCTTAGCTCACTGGGTGCTCCTAGACGGCAGCACCCCCACTGCACCCCTACCCTGAACAATGTTCCCCTTCACTTGTCTTTCCCTGTTGGGTCCCATCCACACTCGAGCCATTACTACTTCTATCATATGTTCTCCTGCCTTGTCATAATTCTCTGCTTGTGAATTCACATCTCCCCTTGCCAGGGCCTTTGGCATCTGCACTCACCTTTACAGAAGTTGCCTTTTGTAAGCGTTCCTAGGAGTAACATCTAGTACCCTCCCCAGGCTATGAGCCTCAAGGGATAGAAGAGAAAAACATGCCCTGGGGAAGGAGCTGGATCATATCACCCTTGTAGCCTTCCAGTGTTGGAAGGCAGTGAAATCCATGAGAGATGGAAATTACCTGCACAAACAGTTCATACACCTCCTTTGGGAGCTGGGCGGGACTCTGCGTGACGGAGATGGCTCCAGATGTCTTATTAATTTCAAAGGCTCCTTCACTCCCTGCCAGAGAGAAGAACCCTGCAATTCTGCACAGTGCCACAAGGGGCGAGGAGCAGTTGCACCAGGCTGGGTAGCACAGAGTCAAGCAGTATCTCCTTGAAGACATCATAGTATGCAATACTGTGTGCCTGTGTCTTGCCAAGGAGGAGACTGACTCTCAGTGACTCTCAGAGGAGTTAAGTAACTTGTCTAGGAATAAGCATAGAAATTAGATCTGGGCTTCCGACACATTTGTGTCTGGCTCCCAGGTTCCATTATACTTTGTATCTCTTATGCATAGCGTGTCTATGAATTTATATGTGTGTGAAAGGAGAAGAAGGAAGAAAATGAAACTGATACATATGCATGGAGACAAGAAAAGGGATATAGATAAAAAGAGAAGTTAGGGAAGTAAGAGAGAAAATAGATAAAGGAAGAGAAGATGGACGAGTGCTTGTAACTGGGTAAAGATTTATAATGACGTGGGGAAGACAGGCAGGTGGGAACTCCTTGCTTGGAAAAAGGTGCCTGTGTGTGATGGTGGGCACATTCATCACACAGGAGCGAGTGGAGGGGAGTAGTGTATGCAGGGCAAGTTCCAGGCAGAGTCACAGACATTAACATATCTGAACATGCAGGCCCCAGTAAGGAGCCTGATCCTTTAGGGACCATCTACTAAGCTGCAGAGAAGACTACATGGCATGTTCCACCAGCTATGTTGGTGATAAAACCAGGATCAGAGCCAGAATACTTAGGTTCCAAGCCAGATGTGGGGACTTGGGACACCCATCTAGCTTGTGTGGGTCTCAGATTTATCATCCATGTAGATGACAAGTGATCTTTGGTTTATGATACCAAGTGATATTGTAATGGGCTGGAGTGATAGCACAGCGGGTAGGGCTGCCTTGCATGCAGCCAACATGGCCAACCCCTCTTGGAGAGCCCGGCAAACTACCGAGAGTATCTCGCCCGCATGACAAAGCCTGGCAAGCTCCCCGTGATGTATTCAATATGCAAAACACAGTAACAAGAAGTCTCAAAATGGAGACGTTACTGGGTCCACTCAAGGAAATCGATGAACAATGGGAAGACAGTGACAGTGACAGACAGTGACAGTGACAGTAGATGGCAAGTACCATCACTATCACTGTCACCGTCCTCCCATTGTTCATTGATTTGCTCGAGTGGGCCCAGTGACATCTCCATTATGAGACCTGTTACTGTGTTTGGTATATCGAATACGTCATGGGTAGCTTGCCAGGCTTTGCCGTGTAGGCGAGATACTCTTGGTAGCTTGCCAAGCTCTCCGAGAGGGGTGGAGCAATCGAACCCGGGTCGGTTGGGTCAACTGCATGCAAGGCAAACTCCCTGCTTGCTGGGCTATTCAACATACTACAGGGAAATGCAATATGGTGTCATCATTGCATTTTATGGTGTCATCATTGCATTTTATTTATTTCAAAGCCATTTCTAGACTAAAGCTCATAAAAAAGTAAGAAACAAATACAATTTCAAGCATATAAGAAATACTAACATCCATTCCCATCAACAACTGTATGCCCATGTGGAATAGAGAATAGTTCTGGACACCTAGATTTATGGATTACACTCACCCCTCCCCACTCCCCCCGCCCCTAGGGTTTCTCTTTATAATTATAATGATCACTGTCACTGTCCCTGTCCTCTTGTTGTTCATCGATTTGCTCAAGCGGGCCCAGTAACGTCTCCATTGTGACAATTGTTACTTTGTTTGGTATATCGAATATACCACGGGGAAATTGCCAGGCTTTACCATGCAGGCAAGATACTCTCGAGGAAGTGTATCTGAGGAGACTTGCCCTGTTCTGCAGGGACCAGCCTCTCCTCAACACACCCCCTGTAATTCTGGTCCTATAAAGCCAGAGCGGTTGGAGACTCTCACTCTGGTCATCTGGGGAGATGGAACTGCAGGTTGGCCACTGGTCTGTCCTAAAGAAGCCCCAGACTCACCATTCACGAGGCTGTAGGCAACGCGGTTGGGTTTGCCCCGATCTCCATCAATAGCAAGCACCGTCAGTACTTCTGAGCCCTTGGGGACAGGAGTAGCTTCCTTAGGCTGAGGGGTGAGACGTGGGCTCTCCCCTCCCCTGATAAGGCTATCTCCTACCCTGATATCCATCACAGAACTGGGGTACAGTCCACCCAAAACACCTCACATGGGATGCCCAGCATTTTTCTGCCTTGTTCTGAGCTCATGTCTCAGGTGACCACTTCTGGAAAGGTCCTTAGCTATATATTCTAACTTGGACACAGCCCATGGAAAAGGGTTGGGGGGAGGGGCGTCCCCATTACTTATTTTCATTGCTGTATAAAGTTGGGAATCATTGAGAATGCAATTGAATCCCACCAAATCTGGCCAGGAGGGGACACAGAAATATACAGTGTGCCCAAGGGAAGGCACACACTAGAGGGGGGCCCTGGCAACAGAGGGGAGACACTCCTGTCTCAGAAGAGACGCCATGGAAATCAGGGTCTGGGTTGAGCTGAGAAGGTGAAGGAAATCAGGCTCATGGAAACTTTTAGGTAGAGGAATAAGGCACTGGGGTGGAACAGATTGAGGGCATAGGGTCTGGGTGAGCTTAAAGATCGAGGGAAGAATACCTTACATGTATCAGTACCAGGCTTCACTGACAGCCTGGGGTTCAGCAGCTACGAGGTGCAGAAAATGCTCAGAAAAGAGAAGGGAGCTCGGGAAGGCCATCCCGATACTCACAGAACTCAGAAAGGAGAAGAGAACCCAGGAAGGCTGTCCCCATCCCTCATAGGACTACCTTGTGGTGACTCAGAGCACTCCAAAGTTCTCTGGGCTGGAGAGGCACCATGCCAGACCTCTTGCAGAGGTAAAGCAAAGGCTTCACCCCAACCAAGCTATCAACTACAACCAGCCTCTCTGCTCTGCCTTTTCAACGTGCCTGACATCTGTGAGTTGGGTAGTGGGTGGCTAAGTCTGCATGAATGACGGAATGTCTGACATGGTCTTAGCATCCTTGTATCCAAGAGATACTTCTCCAGTTCAGAGACAAAAGTAGGCTATACGTGGCTTGAACCTGAGCAAGTCCAAAGCCGGCCTTTATATAGAAGGGGCAACCCAAGGGCCCATCCCAACGATCTCATTGGAGGGGCCACTGGGCAGCAAGAAGGACAGGGGAGGAGGCATCTGGAGGGACACTGGGCTGAGAAGGACGTCTACTCACTGGAAGAGTGTCCTCATACACATAGCCATAGTAAGGGGTGCCCACGAAGACAGGGGCCATGTCCTGCACGTCCTCCACATTGATTGTGATGGTGGTGGTGGCGGAGAACACCACATCAGCCCCTCGCAGCCTCCCTCCGCCATCCTGGGGGAGAATTGAAGAATGAAGAGGGCTGGTCTGGGAGTCAGAATGACCCTGGTAGAATCCAACTTCCTGTTATTGATGAGCAGCAGTGCAGCTGCTGTCTGAGTTCTGTTTGCTCCCATGCCACCTGCAGAGAGTTTTCCCTTCAAAGGCATGAGGCAATAGTGAAACGAGAGGATGCATGACAGTGTTCATCAGTGACAGATATGTAGTAGGCACGCACCATGTAAGCCTGTACCAAGCTCATATACTGGCGAGGTGCAAATGTGAGACTCGAGTACTCTGGTCTTTTGGTAGAGGCCAAGGTGGGATGTTTTCTGCCAACAAGTGACAACAGGGCCTTCTTGGAAAAGTAAGCCCTGGGCCTCCCCAGGCAGATGGGGGAGAGCCCCTTGGAGCATGTGCTGAGTTCCAGGGTCTACATCATGTTCCCTGGAGATATGAGAAACTTAGTTAGCTGAGTAAAGCCATAGCAGAGTACAGATGAGGGAACTGAGGCTCAGAGAGGAAAACTGGCCAAAGAGAGCCTGAAAGGCCATACACAGGCCTAGCAGAGATGGAGGCGCCTGGAAGCCAGGTAGAGGAAGTGTTGGTGGTAGGAACCTGGCCCATTCACCTTGGAGTGGGGAGTTTGGGGAGACACATCTGCAACCAACCAGCATCTCTGAGCATACATCTGGTGGGGTCCACCCAGCAGTGATTCCTACTCCCTACCCCAAACTCTCCAAGCTGCTCCCATGCCCTCCTGGAAGGTCACTCTGCTCTAGCTTAAGAGAGCATCCTCTGAGAAGAGCACAGGAAGGACAGGATGCTGCCCCAAATCCTTCCTTTCTGTTACCTTGGCAACCACAGTGACGAAGTGGGCCCGGGCCTTCTCGTAGTCCAGGGTGCTCCGGGGCTGGAGGCGCAGCACCCCGCTGTGGCGGTCCAGGGTGAATTTGGTGGAGTGTGGGTTCTGCGAGAGTGAGAGGCAGGTTGAGCCTGGAAATGGGTCCAGGCTGGCTCCAGGAATGCCTGTTCCACTTGCTGAAAGTGTGGGGATAGGGGTGTGGGGATCCAGCCTCCGTCCTTTTGCTCTCAGGTGGAGGTGTAGATTTCAGGGCATTCAGACTCTTTTGGACCTGGGTCCCCCCTTCTGAAAGCCCTGGGCTTACTCTCCCACTCTCAGTTTAAATCAGAAAGTTCTTGGGTGGTAGGGCCTTGACTCTTTCCTCTGCTCAATGGGAAAACCACTGGGCCCTGTACAGGGCTCAGCTCTGCTTGGGAAATTCTGGCAGGAGAAAAGGCTGCTGGTCAGCAGAGGGTTCTAAGCCAGGCTGCCGGGGTTCACAATTCCTTGTGACAGGCAGAATATTCTGGATGTTCAAATTCCACCCATAAGTGCCACAGGCTGTTCGAGGTGGCCTTTGGCATGAGGTGAGGGAGCAAGTGAGATGAATTGAGGATGAACGAGAGTCTTGGGGGCGGGAGCGATAGTACAGTGGGTAGGGCATTTGCCTTGCACATGGTTGACCTGGGTTCGATTGCCTGCAATCCCATATGGTTCCCCAAGCACTTCCAGAGGAATTCCTGAGTGTGGAACCAGGAGTAACTCGGGAGCATCACCAGGTGTGACCCATAAAAGACAAAAACCCAAACCAAACCAAACCAAACCAAAAAACCGAGAGTCTAATCCTAAAGGAGGGTGTCTGAGAGCCACAGCCTGTTCTGGATCTTTGTTCCTACTGATCCTGACAACAATCCAGTTTGGAAGAACTTTAGTTTCTCCCATTCAACGCACGAGGAAGTTGACAGGGGAAAGTTAGGAAACAATGGGGGTGTTCCCCAATGTAGAATTTGGGTCTTTTTGGTATCTCTGGAGGACAGGAAGTTTCTCTAGGGCACATTTTGTTGTTGTTGGTTTGGTTTTGGGTTTTTCGGCCACAGCAAGTGAGGCTTAGGGCTTACTCCTGGCTCTGTGTGCAGAGATCTTTCTTGGTGGTACTTGAGAAATCATATAGGGTCCCAGGGATTTCATCTAGGTTCGGCTGGAGACCAGGCAAACTCCTTAACTCCTCATATCTCCAGCTCAAACATGTCTTCTTCAGCCACTGGGCTATAGCACCTTGAAACTGTGAGGGTGGGAGAGCCCATGAAGAGAGAAGCGGAAATGCTGTGGGGCAGAGATGGGCAGCTGGTTCCAGAGCAGCCAGGAGGGGGTTGTGGGCAGGATGCTCACCTTTGATGGGGTGGGATGAATGGAAGGATGGGATGGGACAGACTATGGGGTAGGATAGGCTAATGGACAGGGTGGGCAGTTTTTCCCTTCGAGGAGCAATGTACTTCTGCCCTTTTTCCTGAGAAACGGGGCCCAGAGTAGTTTTTCTTCTCAATCCCATATGAGCACCAAGTGCCAGGGCCCATCCTGGAAAAGGGGCAGGGGCTGGAAGCTGAAGGCCCAGGACCTGGGGAGATGGAATGCAGCATCCCAGTGGACTAGGCCTGGCAGGGGAAAGCAATTTCTGCTGAAGACCCTCTCACAGCACCCCGTTATCCATCCAGCCCCACAATTGATGACTAAGGCCCCCAGGTATCCCCAACACTTAGCAGAGGCACTGAGCTAGAGGCCATGGTGATGGAGATCAGGACCATCTGGTGTCCCTGCTAATAGGTGGTGTGCCCTTCCTTACCTGTAGGAAGTAGTTGACACTCCCTCCAGAACCTGTGTCCTTGTCCACTGCTTGCACTGTAAGGATACTGCTCCCAGCAGGTGTGTCCTGAGGGGGCACAGTTAAGCAGGGAAATGTCAGAAAGCTCAGGGAAGGATGTACGGGAGCATGGGAAGGTGGGGTTTTGGTGAAAGATCTAAAAAGAGGTGAAATATGGGGTCCAGAGTGGATGGGGTACGTGTCTTGCATTTAGCCAGCTTGGGTTCAATCCTTGGCATCCCAGGTGGTCCCCCAAGTCCACCAGAAGTGATCCCCGAGTTCCAGGGTCAGGAATAAGCCCTGAGCACTGCCTCTGTGGATTAAGAACAGCACCACAGGAGGTGAAACGTGATGACTAACCAGGGAGCACTAAGGCTGCAGGAGTGGCAGGCATAAGGGGACCCCTCAAGAAAGAGACGCCCTATCCTCCTGTGAAGGAGAAAAGCAGACAGCCAGCTGCCACCGTAGGAAGCTGGAGGCGGGCCCGAGAGAAAAGCAGACTCCAAATAGAGAGCAGGACGCGATGATTCACAAGTGAGGCAAGGTTAATGAACACGGATGTGTGGGGCGTCACCCAGAATCAAACACATACTGCGCAGGGCTAGAATGAAATCTCTCCCTCCTACTGAAACAGCAAACATGAAAAAAAATTCAAGAACAGCTCATGGGTGCCGCAGTGATAGGAAAGCTGAGAGGACATTTGCCTTGCACTTGGCCAACCTGGTTCAATCCCCAGTGTCCCATATGATCCCCGAGTACCAACAGGAGTGATTCCTGAGTGCATCCCAGGTGGTCCCCCAAGTCCACCAGAAGTGATCCCCGAGTTCCAGGGTCCTGAGTGCAGAGCCAGGAGTAATCCTTGAGCATAGCAGGGTGTGACCCCAAAAGACAAAAAGACAAAAGCAAAAAAGAACAGCTCATGTGTGTGAGGGTGAGGGTCGGGCAGATGACCCTCATCCTGTGGGAGAGAGTGAAGTAGGGCCCCTACAGAATAATCACAGGCTTGCAGGGCCTTGGCTCAGTGGAGTCAGACCAGGCGGTATCTTAAGGAAATAACTCCCATAAGAGGAAGGGAAGTTTTATGTTCAGAGTTTGACCTGCCAAGGACAGGAAGTCTTGAGAGCCTTTTCAATCTCCCAAGAAAAAAGACAGCTCAGGCAACTAGGCAGCGCTCTCTTAAAGCAGAAGTTCCTAAACTTATTTGGCCGGCTGCCCCCTTTTCAGAAAAACAATCACTCAGTACCCCACCTAGAAATCTACCTCTTTGGGGGCTAGGGAGATAGTACAGTGGGTAGGGTGTTTGCCTTGTACACGGCTGACTTAGGTTTGACCCCAGCATCCCATATGGTCCCCTGAGTCCCACCAGGAGTAATTTCTGAGCACAGAGCCAGAGTATCCCCTAAGCAAGCCGAGCCTGGCCCAACAACAAATATTTTATTTCAGTTCTGCTTTGGGTCAGGGATTGGGGTTTGGGATAGAAACATCCCAAATATGGCGGTGGGAAGGTGTAATAGTGGTGGGATTGGTGTTTGAATATTAAATGTAATCAAATATTGTGAACTGCCTTATAAAATAAAAAAATTCAAAAAAAAAGAAATCTACCTTCTTCAACCTTCCTCAAACGATAGCAACCCATTTCACCCCATAATTGTAGCTGAGGTTCCTACAGTTCCCTGATGCCCAGAGTAAAGCTCACAATCGGGGCAGGAATATCACCCAATGGTTTTTGAAGGTCTTTCTTTCTTCTACTTTTCTATATATTTTATATTCTCAGAATCAACATGTAGCAATAATGAACATCAAAGGAACCTCCATTTGGGAGGAAAATGGTGCTTCCTGAGAATGGTGAGGAGGGCAGAGAGAGGGCTACCCAGTGTGCAACAAGGGGTGATGGGTGCTTAGACACTCTAGTTCCCTGGACCACTTCACAGGGCAGCCTCAGAGGGCAACATGGGTGCGGCAGCCCTATCCTGGAACCCCTCTGCTTACCTCAGGAACCTGAGCCACATAAGGCTCCTGGATGAACCTGGGCGCCTCGTCATTGGCATCAGTGACCAGGACGACGACTTTTTCTGCTACCTGGGAAGAAGCAGAGAGACGCAGGGAGACCTTCAGAGAAAGTGTCCTCTGATGTCCCAGATCTACAGACCATCTCTGATTGTCCTTCCCCTCTTCTCCTCAGTCCCCTCCCTTCCTTTGTCCTCCCTCCCTCCCTCCCTCCCTCCCTCCCTCCCTCCCTCTCTCCCTCCCTCTCTCCCTCCCTCTCTCCCTTCCTTCCTACCTTCCTTCCTTTTTTCCTTCCTTCCTTTTTTCCTTCCTTCCTTTTTTCCTTCCTTTTTTCCTTCCTTCCTTCCTTCCTTCCTCCCATCCTCCCTCCTCCCTCCCATCCTCCCTCCTCCCTCCCATCCTCCCTCCCTCCCTCCCTCCCTCCCTCTCTCTCCCTCCCTTCCTTCCTTCCTTCCTTCCTTCCTTCCTCCCTCCCTCCCTCCCTCCCTCCCTCCCTCCCTCCTTCCTTCCTTCCTTCCTTCCTCCTCCCTCCCATCCTCCCTCCTCCCTCCCATCCTCCCTTCCTCCCTCCCATCCTCCCTCCCTCCCTCCCTCCCTCCTTTCCTCCCTCCCTTCCTTCCTTCCTTCCTTCCTTCCTTCCTTCCTTCCTTCCTCCCGCCCTCCCTCCCTCCTTCTTTCCTTCCTTCCTTCCTTCCTTCCTTCTCCCTCCCATCCTCCCTCCTCCCTCCCATCCTCCCTTCCTCCCTCCCTCCCTCCCTCCCTCCCTCCCTCCCTCCCTTCCTTCCTTCCTTCCTTCCTTCCTTCATCTCTTCATCCCTTCGTCCTTTGTCCCTTCTTCCTCCCTCCCTCCCTCCCTCCCTCCCTCCCTCCCTCCCTCCCTCCCTCCCTCCATCTCTCCTTCCTTCTCTCCCTTCCCTCCCTCCTTCCTTCCTTATGCAACAAGTATTTTTTAAGGGACTCCGTGGTGCCAAGCACCATGTGTTTCATCCTGATCACAGAAGACGGGTCTGATGCTTGGGTATTTTGCAGGATGAGGGGGCTAGTCAAGATCAGTATATAAAATGAGTTACAGGGGCTGGAGTGATAACACCGTGGGAAGGGCGTTTGCCTTGCACACAGCTGACCTGGGTTCGATTCCCAGCATCCCATAATCCCATAGGTTCCCCTGAGCATAGCCAGGAGTAATTCCTGAATGTGCAGAGCCAGAAGTAACCCCTGTGCACCGCCGGGTGTGACCCAAAAAGCAAAAAAAAAAAAAAGTATATATATAAGATGAGTTACAGCAACCAGGGGAGGGGGGGCCGCATTGCAGCTCTCCAGGCACCCAGGACTCCAGTGGCTTAGGCAAAAGCATCCCCTGGTGGCTAGGAGTGCACGATCCTGGAGGCTGTGTGCAGAAGCCCCGAGAAAAAGCAGTATTCCAGCCTGTGGTGGACAGAGGGTCTTCACAAAGTGGGGAGAAGTGAGCTCTGCAGCAGTTCATCAAGTGAGAGGTGAGGAAGGAGGCAGAGAGGGCTTCCAGGAAGAAAGAACAGCGTGTGCAAGGACAAAGAGGAGGAAGGCACATGGCGAGTTCAGCCGGTCTGTAGATTTATTGCTAGATGGTAGGCAGGAGAAATGGTGGGCGAGGCAGATGGTGCGCAGTGGGGGCCCCGAGCGCCAGGCTGAACCTTGGCCCTCATCCTAAGGGTTGTGGCAGCCTCTCTCAGTACTGTCTGCCCGGCGGTGCCAAGTCTGAGCTCCACAGTCATATTCTGACTCATCCCCTGACGTGGACTATGGTCCTGGGGGGCCTCGAGGCATGGGAGCCCCCGCAGCTAAGCCAGGAGGTACAGACAAGGCTGGAAAAGGGAGGAGTCAGGTGCATAGATGTTCAGTGAGTGACTGGGCAGAGTCAAGAAGTAGGTAGGGAAGCAGGTTCCAGGAGATGCTCTGAAATGTACCACTGACTGCCCTCTCCTCTTCTCTCCTTTCCTCTGCTTTTCTCTCCTTCCCTCTCCATCCCTCTCCTTCCCTCCCCTTCCTCTCTCTGTCTCTCTTCTTCCCTCCCCTTCTCCTCTCTATCCATCTCTGCCCCTCTCATTCCTCCTCTCCAGTCCTCTCCTTCTCTTATCCATCTCTTTTCATCTCTCTCCTTCCCCATTTCTTGTCCCCTCCCTTGAAGCCCCGTCAGCCCTTCAGGCAGACAGGTGGGGACAGTTCCTCTTGGGTCTTGAAGGAGGTGAGTGGGCAGAAGGAGCTCATGAAGCTGAAAGAGCTCCACGCTGCCCAGACAGCGGGCCGGGGGGAGTACGCACTCACCAGGTTCAGGCCATCGGAAATGCTGATGATGGCTTCAATTTCATCCTCCCTCTGTGAAGCACAAGCACTAAGTGAGTGTCCAAGAGTCTGGAGCCCCCTGGGCTGTGGGTAGCGGGCACAGTGAGCCTTCCCTGCTCCCTGGAGTGCATCAGAGAGCCCTGGAGCAGGGCAGGGTGAGGGGTGCTGAGAATATGCCTTGGCAAGGCCTGAGGCTACTTCTCCAAGTGTGGTGTCAGGTTCCCATGTCAGGACTTCTTAAAAATCAATGAAAAAAACGACCCCCTCCAGTACCAGGGAATGAGGAGAGATGCTAACTTGGTGTGCTGGTGAACTCAGGGGGAAGGAATTTCCTTTTTCCTTTTTCCTATCTCTCTCCCAGCTTCTCACAGCCTGTCATTTTGCCCACGACATGGTGTGGCATTGGGATCTCCAGCTCCCCAGGGGTGCCAGGGAGAGGCAGACCAGCCAGGCCAGCACTGAGTCCCTCCAGCAATCTCCGAGACTCATCCCACTTTCCTCTCTCTAGCTGGCCTGTGCCTCCATTCGGGTTACCAGCAGTGCCAAGGTCAGGCCTGGTTATGTGTGAATCTGGCCCACCAGCCTGGTGTCAGACTCCGAAGAGAAAGGCAGCACATGCCCTGCCACCCACAGGCTCCAGGGGCCGGTGGTGAGTTTTACCAGACTCAGAACCGCTCTGTAACCCATTTCCTGTCCTGATCCACTATCTGAGCTTTCTGTCTGTGCAGGACCAGAACTGTACAAAACCTCTCTCGGGGATAACCCAGCCCCCAGCCTGCTGCCCCGGCAAGCAGCGCTCCTAGGGAACCCCTTACCTCTCGATCCAGCTCTTCCACCAGAGTGACGTTTCCCAAATTGGGGTCCACCGAAAAGACACTTCTAGAGCTGGGGTCAAAGGTGATGTGGTAGGTGAGGGGGTCGCCCTCAGGGTCTGTCCCGTTCAAGGTGTACACATGAGAGCCTGGGAAGGGAGACGAAGGGAAGACCTAGAATCTGGGTCTTGGTTTTTCCAGAACATTCAATCCAGGGCTGAAGAGAGGCTCGGACGGAACTGGCAACTGGCTGCTGGCAGCTCCCCCCACCCCCCTCCCCCACTGCTGCTTCCCCTTGCTTGATCCGGTACTCCACAATGCTAGACAGCTAACAGGCTCCAAAGGCACTTGGAGCTTGCATTTTGGGAGGAGCTGGGGGCTCAGGGCCCACCTGGCAGTGCTCAGAGCTCAGGAGTGACCTCTGGTGGTGCTCAGGGGCCATATGCACTCAAGGGGCTTGAAGTCCAAGGGTTGCCTAAAAGGCAAATGCATTCTCTCCTGCCCCCGCTCCACTTGCCCATTCCAATCTGAAATAGATCCCGGTGGAGCTCTCCCTGGCCTGTGCTACCCTTTGGGGTGGGGTCAGGACCCCTGCTAGTGACTCCTGTCTTGTGGAGGGGATCTAGGGAAAAGAGAGGAGCCAGTGAGGCAGGAGGGGTGACCCCCCTCTGCAACACAGTCCCCTAAGCTGGGGTGAGCATATCAGGGGGTTCTTCTATACTGTTTTTCGGTTTGCTCTGGCCTCAGCCCCAGCAGGGTGAGGGAGAGGGAGAGTGAGAACTCTCACCTCTCCACCTCTCCTCCTGCACTCGCTCTGGCTTCCTGACCCAGGGAGCTGGGTGATCTTAGCTGTTTAAAGGCCTGGAGACTCTGAAAGGGGTGTGTGTGTGTGTGTGTGTGTGTGTGTGTGTGTGTGTGTGTGTGTGTGTGTATGTGTGTGTGCGCGCACTCAAGGTCACTCCGTGGGTGAGCAGCCTGCCGTGGGGTGGTCAAGTCAGCCTCCGGCTCTCTGCGGCTTGCTCCCCGGGGCCCTCCCTGGTCTCTAGGTCCTAAGCAGGTCTGTCGGGAGTCTCCATAGCAGCCGTGACCTCCTTCCCAGCAACTGCCCTGGGGATTCCAGGCGCAAACAGGGCGCTCTACGGAGCGCCCTTAGCCTGACTCCAAGGAGTCCCTCTGTCCAGTGTCCCTGGGAGCACCAGCAGCTTCTGGGGGCGAGGAGGCGGGGGAAAGACGGAATGGGGTTCGGTGGGTGCCAGGGCTGCTCACCTACAGGGGTGTCCTCCGGGAGGCTGAACAGAGCCATGTTTCCGTTGGTGCTGCCGACCCCGTTGTCCAAGAAGTGGGGCGCGAAGTTGGCCTGGGCTGGAGCGCAGGGCAGGTTAAGGGCTGAACACCAGGGCGCGCGGCTGGGGCAGCACCGAGGCACCCCCGCGGGTCTCGGAGTGCGATCCTAGACCCTGGGCTCCTCAGTTCCCTCGCCCGGGAGCCAGACGAGGGTCCCCGCACTCCCATCTCCGTCACCCCCTTTCGCTAACTGGCGCGCCCCGCGCGGGCCACCCGAGTTCAAGCCCCTGGATGGGCAGACCCGGAGTCCGCGCCCAGAGCGGGGCAGCGCCCGGGCCAAGGTCACAGGAGAGCGGCGGAGGCACGTCCCCTGCCCCCAAGTCTCCAGACCCCCGCCCCACCACTGCCCTCTCGACCCCCAGCACCGTCACCAGGTCCCCGGAGCACCGACTTCTGGAGCGCGACCCCGGGTGCGCCCCCATTCCCGAGCCCCACTCTGGAAGCCAATGATGCAGACCCGGGGGTCTCTCGGCGCCCAGCGCAGCCCTCGCCCCCCGTGCGGGGCTCCCGGGACCACTCACCCAGGCAGAGGTGCAGCAGCGCCAGCGCCAGGGTCCCCCGCGGGCCGCGCCCCATGTCTCCGCCGGCAGTGGCGGCCGGGCCCCCGGCACCGCGAGGGGTGCGGAGATGACGGCGGCGGCGCGGGAGGGGCGCGGGGCTCTAAGCGGATGACTCGGGGCTCCCGCCAGCCGCCTGCAGAGACCAATTAGCGCGCCCAAGAGCCGAGCTCCCCGCGGGGCGGGGGAGCGCGAGGGGATGGGGTGCGCGGGGCGTGACCCAGCACCCGCTCGGCTGCCACACCCCCTTCACCCAGGTCAGGTGCGCAGGGGACCCAGGTCTCCAGGTCTGCAGACCCGAGAGAGCCATCCCCACCTCCAAAGCGGGGTGAAGAGTCTTCTTCCCTTCGGGATAGTAGAAGCAGAGAGCGGAAAATTGGGGCTTCTTGCAGAATGCTCTAGTCCGACTGTTTCTCTCTCTCTCTCTCTCTCTCTCTCTCTTCTTTTTATAAATTTATTTATTGAATCACCATGAGAACAGTTATAAAGCTTTCGGGTTTAAGTCCTGGTCATACAACGATGAAACACCCGTCCCTTCACCAGTGCCCATTCTCTACCCCCCAAAACCCCAGTATACCCCATCCCACACCCTCCCCCTACCTGTGGGGCAGCTGATTTCCATATTACTCTCTCTCTACTTTGATTGCATTCAATATTTTGACACCAGACCCACCATAAAAAAATAATTGTGTAGTACCAGGAATTTTGCTCCATGGCTTGGAGGCCAGCCACACACACTAGGGGCAAAGGCAGCTCAGATAGAGAAGGGAGCACCAAATAAAGGGTGATGGGAGGATCTTCCCAGGATGGGAGAAGCATGCTAAAGGTAGACTATAGAACATGAACGTGATTGCCACTCAATGCCTCTTTTGCAAACCACAACACCCAATAAGAGAGAGAACAAAAGGGAATGCCCTGCCACAGAAGTAGAGTGGGATGGGGGGGATGGGGGGGGGTGAGAGGGATACTGGGATCCGTGGTGGTGGGAAATGGGCACTGGTGGAGGGATGGGTACTTGATCATTGTATAATTGAAACCCAAACATAAAATTTGTAAGTCTACAACTGTACCTCATGGTGTCTCACTAATAAAAATTTTTAAAAAAATCGTAGCTGAGGGGCCAAAGCTACAATACAATGATTAGGGAGTTTGCTTGCCTTGCATGCGCCCCAGCTGGGTTCCATCCCCAGCTCCATACATGGCACCCAAAAGCCCGCCGGGAGTGATCCCTGAGTGCAAAGCCAGGTGTCAACCCTGAGATTAAACCCACTGTGACCCCCAAACAAAACAAAAATTGTAGTAGAGATGATGCAGTTGTTAACGTTGCTGTGCCTTTGCTACTTATGCAAACTTGCTGTGCAGGTTTTTGGGGGGTTTAGTTTTGTTCTTGGACCACACCTAGTAGTACTCGGTGCTTACTCTGGCTCTTCACTCAGAGAACACTACTGATGGGACCAGTGTCAGTCACATGTAAGTAAGGCAAATGCTCAACTGATATTGTACTATCTCTCATCTCTCTCAGCTTTTTTTCTCCCCTAGTGCCAAGACAATTTTTTAAATTTTATTGTAGTTAATATGATTAAAAATATGTTAACACTGTGCTTTTCATGTACAAAGTGACCATACCTCCACCACCCCCGTGTCAAGGGCCCTCCACCACACACGGGGGTGGTGGAGGTAAGGTCACTTAGAGGGTACTCTTGGCTCAGTGCTGCGTTGCACCTGATGTTGCTGGGGGTCCACAAAGGCCCTGAATGGAGCTCCTGTCTCTTGCATGCATAAGATATCCTCCAGCCTTGTGAGCTATCTCTCTGACTGAAGTTCTTTCTTTTGTTTGGGCTGGGAGGCTCCCTACTGGTACTCAGGAAGCCTCAGATCCTCTCCCACTATTCTTGTCCAACTGGGCCTGCAGCTCTTGGTGAGTCGCCCAAGACTATGGTGCCTTCAGGGAAAACACTCAAGCTCCCTGTCATACTATTGCTCTGACCCCAACAACCAGCACATTTTTAATGAACTTCTTCAGTGTCTCTGTGGGACTTCACTAGTCTCTCTGCACTAAACACTGTGGATTAGAAAACAGTCTCAGGGGAACGGGCTAACCTCTGAGGACTTCTTCCCGGGAACAGAAATGGATGTAGCAGACAAGGGGGAGGGTTAGGGGGGGATAACTGATGCTCCGGTTCCAGGGACAGGGCTCCCCAAAGTTTTGGGGTGACAGCAAATAATGGAACAGGGTAGTGGTAAGAGAGGAAGAGAGTGTGAGGTGTTTCCTGGACCCACATTCAGGGATCTTAACCCATTCCTGACCTGCCTTTTGCCCAGGCCAGGTCAGCTACTCCAAGTGAACTCGAACAACTGCTGGACCAGGTGATGCTGTTCCTACATGTTTCCAGCCCGAAGACAGTAGGATGCCTTCCTGGTTACTGGTGGATTGCTCTGGGCTTGTCCCTCCTCTTCCTTTGACACTAGAGTTTGGCTTGTGAAGTTTGTCTGGAGACCACAGAGCAGTCCCTAAGCCTGTCTTCGGGAGAGTTGTCTACAAACAGCAGAGACCCTTTTGTGTGTTCCCTGGGGCTCTCAACAGCCCCCTGCTGGGGCCTTCCCAGCAACAGGGCACCCTCTTCCCTGGGGCCAGCCCTATTTTCTCTCTTCATGATTTAGGAGAAGGTGAATTGGTGGCCCCAGAGTATTTGACCATTTTTTGGTCCAATTAACATAAACCCTTCTTGTTGAATCCCTTTGGACCTGGCCATTTGGCTGGAATGATAAATTTAAAATTACATATATATAGTGAAGGTGTGGATGTTGGAATATTAAAAGACTGAAACCCAATCATGAACAACTTTGTAACAGTGTGTATCTCACTGTGATTCAATAATAAATAAGTAAATAAATGAAAGTTTAAAAATAAAATACTTATGGTGGTTTTCAGGAAAAAACAAAATAAAATTACATATATATTTTCCCCCCTGGCACTTTGTTTGACAAAACTGAGTAAAGCCAAGCATATCACCTATGTCCTACAGAGGGACAAAGAGACTGAGGTGATCATCCAATGAGCTGGAGGCAGAACCGCAGCTTCCGGGAGCCCATGTCAGTGTGCTGAGAAACGCCAGTTCCCACTGGGTCTTGTCTGCCCTTCTCCTTAAAACATGGGTCTGAGGTTATGATTATGCATGGTTAAGTCACTTGACAGAGATGAGAAACAAAGGAGGAGCACTCTCCATGGTGTGTGTGTGTGTGTACATGTATGTGCATGTGTTTTTGCATAGATGTATGTGTATCCGTGTGCGTACTCTCACTCATATCTTCATATTTTCTCACATAACCAACAGCCTCTCCTGCTGTGATTGTCTCTACTTTAGCAATAAAGATGTTGACACACAGAGAGGGTAAGCTGTATGGCTAGGCTCAAAAAGCCAGTGAGAGATAGAGGGTCTTGACCTACATCCATTTTGTGTTGTGTCCCTCTAGAGCTGGAACTCTTTAATTTTTAAATTTTAATTAATCATTTTTTAAAATTGAATCACACTGAGATGCACAGTTAGAAAGTTGTTTATGACTCGGTTCAGTCATATAATGTTCCAACACCTGTCTCTTCACCAGTGTACATTTTTTCCACTACCAATGTCCCCAGTTTTCCTCCTGATCCACCCATTGCCTCTTTGGCAGGCACTTCTCCCTCTCTCTCCTCTCTCTCTCTCTCTCTCGCTCTCGCTCTCTCTCTCTCTCCCTCTCTCTCTATGTACCCACCCATCTATCTATCCACAAATTGAGATATTGGAATAGCCAAGGGCATAAATTGAATTGACTTTTGAACGAGGCATAAAATAGAGATGTTTTTGTGACTGAAAGAAAGATAGTAAGGAATGGTGGAGATTATGGTACATGTTTGTTTATATCCACAGCCTATTAAAGCATTGACTTGAACATACAAAATGCTTGAATTCTGATCTGTAAAAGGACATTCACAGTTCTTACTTTCTTGCTATTTTTCACCTCCCACCCTCTGATTCACACTTTGCAAGTCCTGAGGGGCAGTGCAGTCTGACAGAATAATCAGCAGATAAGTGCCAAGGCCTGTTCCAGAAATGGAGCTGTTGATAGCAAATCTGCCAGTTGCCTCTGGAGTCTGTTGCCAGACTGCTAGTAAACAGGCAAGGTCAAGCCATCTTTCCAGACTAGACCAGAACTTGGGACACACCCAAAATGCTTTTCCAAGGCAGAGAAAATGGCTGTTAGTGGAGTCCCATGTGGGGGTCATGTAGGGACATTATACAGCCAGAGATAACCGAGATCTTTGCTTATACAAAGATAAACTTTGATATAAACCATCAGAGCAGATATGTACACTAGATTATAAAGTATACCTGTTACCAGACAAAGGTTACTAGCTGGGGACGAAAGAGGCCAAAGTGCTCCACCTTGAATAGGGGTGAGAAAGAGGTGAGGAGCCTTTTAGTCTGACCTTCTTAGTTTGGTGAAAACAGATCTGGGATGTCTATTTGGCTTCTATTTTAGGGCAGGCATTTCTATGTTCCATTCACTCTAAGTCAGGTACACTTAGTTTTGTTTTCAGAAAGGTATCTGGGCTCCCTGATGTCTCACAGTGGGCACTTGTCAACATCATTGGAACACAAGTCAGTTTCTGATATGGGGGTTCTACTCTATTAAGTACACCAGGCTTCCCTCTGAGACAGGGAGTATGCATCCATTTGGTTGCCACAGGGACTGTATACTTTCCTAACTGCCACGCTGTAAGCTGCAGAAATGTCCAGAGAGTCCAAGGAGTCCATTAGGGCAAGATAAGAGTTTCAGTCTTGGTGCTGGAGAGATAGCACGGCAAACCCAGGTTCAATCCCCAGCATCTCATATGTTACTGGGGACCGCCGGAAGTAATTCCCGAGTAAAGAGCCAGGAGATGGCCCTCATCATCACTGGGTGTGTCTCCCATCCCCCGCAAAAAAAAAAGAAAAGTTTATAACTAACAATCACTTACAGATGTTTGGGTGTTTGGGTTTTCTTTGTACCCAATAGCCTTAAAAGGGGAGCAGGGTCGGAGTGGGGGGTGCAGAAAATGGTTCAAAGTGCTGGCACACATATTTTGCATATGGGAGATTTGATGCCTGGAAAACTCATGACCCCTGAGTATAGC